AAGAAAAGACCAATTGACAAAAAGGTAAATTAAACTTGCAATGGTTTTCTTAATTAAAAATTTTTTTAAGAAAGAGAAAATGCTATTTTCAACAAAAGGGGAACAAAAGCATTGAAAGCCCATGAGTCAAGCCTTTGCCAAAACTGTTTTATCTTACATAGGGTTTCTCCCTCCTCCCTTTTTCTTTCTTTCTTTCTTTCTTTTTTTCCTTAAATAAAATCCCTCCCAAACCACCATCACTTCTAATCCTGCCCAGACTGGGCTTCATCCCTAGATTTCTCAGGTGCAGGGCTTGTCGATGTTTTCTTTTCTGGAGGGCTTTCTGGTTCCTCCTCCTCTTCTTTGGGAGAAGGAGTCTTTTCCTTTTGATGCTTTAAAGCTGTGGGGCAACCCACTTTCCCTTTGCCTTTCACGGGACTTGGCGTCATGGTAACCTTTATCCTGAGTTTGGGCGGTTTTTTTTTCTTTTTTCTTTTTTCTTTTTCTTCTCTCAGGTTAGGACTCCTTAACCATCTTTTTGTGTTTCTTTTTTGAACCGGCGCAGTCACTACCGTCGTTGTCTAGCATTAGAAAATCTTCATCGCTGCGGCAATCTGTCTCCTGGAACGGTGCCTCATCCTCTTCTTGTTCTCCACTGTCTGCAACTTCCACGCGCATCTCTCTGTTTAGGAGCTGCTTTCGAGAGGCTGCCTGCCGTTGCTGGCGCATGTTTTTTTAGCATCTTCTTTTTCATCTTCACTGTCCTCTGCTGAGTGAGAATCATCCTTCTTCGTCTTCACATCTTTTTCTTCTGAGTCTTCACAATCTTCCTGTGACTTCTCTCCAGATCGCCTTTTTCTTTTAGCTTCTCAATCGAATTTTCTTAGCTGGAGGGCCTGAATCTCTCTTGTAATCTTCATCAGCATCATTAGATTCCTGAAACTGAATAATCAACGACCTTCCTGTTTCTGACAGGCCGAGACTTGTTCGCTGTGGAACCAGGACGGAGTGGAGAAGCCAAAGACCAGGATGCCCGCAGCCCGCGCTCGGCAGCACCCCCGGGGCCGATGCCGCAAATACGCAGAGTAGGGGGCTTCTGAAGCCCCCGGTCCCGCTCCTTGGTTGGGAGACCCGTAAACAGACCAACGGCCCTCTTTTCAAAATGTACGAATCAAACGAGCCCGCTATAAAGATTTCTGAAATCAGGTTTACACCCAAGCTTTCTTCCTATAGAATTATCAGCTTTCTTGTATTACTTGAAAATACCTCCTCTTTTGCCGCAACTTAAGCATTATGATAAAAAAATATGGGTTCTGTAGACACACAGATTTAGGTCCTAATCCTGCCTCTGCCACTCATTGTCTGTATGGCTTTGGGTAGTTTCTAGACTTTTCTGACCCCAATTTCCCTAATTAAATAGAAATAAGTAACACCTCTAGATTTTGTTGTGAGAATTGATAAATAAATCACCAAAATGTATAAGTGGTCAATAAATGATGGCTCTTATATTTTTTGGTTTCTGAACTACAAATATAAATTTCAAGATTTGTGAGAATGAATATCAGTTTCAGAATTATAAGGATGTTTCGTGAGGTTTCTGGAATACAAAAGAATTTCTTAGGAATTGTGAACTGTCAAGATCAAATGTCAATGACAAACACAACAAAACAAACTTGGTATACTGTATCAAGTACTTTTGAAAGCAGTTTTGGCAACGACAGTTTTGGGGACTGTGTGCTGCAGCTGACTGTGGAGAGCAGATTATACACATCTCATCCCTATTCCCAGTTCACTGACCTTTCTTTTGTAGTTTACAGTCAGCCCTCTGGGGGAGGAAACTTGCAAATGATACAATCAAGGCTTCCTTGCCTCTGTCCATTGTTAAAACATTTGCCAGCATGGCACTAATTAGGATCACTAATTCTGAGTAAATATGTCTTTGGAATCAGCTTTTAGCTGCGGTTTTAGCAGTGGTTAGCCTACTAGCTCACATCAGAATCTTCTGGAAAGCACAAAAGACAAACAAACCTCATTGATTTAGGCGTCACTATCCGAAGCATCAATTAGTGTGAGAAAGGATCCAGATCTAGTTATTATCTTTTAAGATTCAGGTCAGTGATTCTTAAACTTGAATGAACCCAAGAATTATCTGGAGGCTCTCATTAAAACACAGATTTCTGGGCCCTACTCCCAGAGCTGCTGATTCAGTAGGTGGCATGGGACCTGAGATTCTGCATTTTACTAAGCTTCTGGGTGACGACAATGCTGTAAGCAGCAAGGATCCAGGTAATTCTTGCTTGATGCTATAGATGATCTCTACCTAATATCATCCAGGACTGTGTAACACAGCTCTAAAGAAACACTTGTCCCAAAGTATAGGCTTTCCAGTACATTTTTATTTTTGTCTGACATTTTACTCACTTTAAATGTAATTACTGTTTTTTCCTGGGTGTAGAGGGGTGTGTGAGGGGGTACGATGGGGTTACAAAGGGTTGCGATTCAGGCTGTCCACCTCCAAACCGGTAGTTTCCAGCCTAGCTGTACATTAAAATAATCTGTGGAGCGATTCTGATTCAATTGGGAGGGAAGGAATACATATTTTTTAAAAGCTCTATATTTTATTCTAGACAGTAGCCAGAATGATGAATCACTGATCTAGACAACTTGATATTCAAGTTGAAAATTTCCAAGTCTGAATTATCTAGGCTCTGATGATAAGTGTTTAAAAATGACAGCTTCCCTTTCTGTTGCACTTTTAAGATCTCTAAGAATTATATCTGTTCTCCATATGAATGGCAAATTGAAGGAACAAGCAGAAAATTGTATCCTCAAGAAGATTATTCAGAGAATCAACATATTTTAATGCAATAAAAGATTAAAATGAATGAGGCTAAAACCAGTAAGACAAAGTTGTTGGCATGTGGATTCATTAAGGATGCATGTGTGTGAGCATGCACATGTATCTAATAAAAACCTATATGTACACAATTAAGAGAAAACTTTAAAAAGGCAAAAAATATTGAAGAATTATACAGTGCTGAAGTCTGAATTTTTAGAGGGTATCACTACATAATTTAGTAGAAAGAAGTTCTGTATTCATTGAAAGTCTCATGTGGCAGATACCACTAGCTGATTACTTTGTAAAATAATTTGATATTATTCATGGCATCAACATGCATAGCCAAAGACCACACTTTCTCGCCTCCTTTGCAACTAGTATAACATGTGATTAAGTTCTGGCCAATGAGATATAAGCAGAAGATTTGGGTAAGACCGAGAAGGCTTCTAAAAGGAATCTGACATCAGGACTTTCATGCACTTGCCCTTCTTGTTGCTTAAAATGCTGCTGTGAGGACCGGACCACCATCTCGGACCATGAGGGGACTTGGAGAAGCAGCCAGTGCTAAAGGTAGCAGAGCAGAAGGATAGGAGACTGGGCTCTCAATGACTACCAAGCCATCATAATAGCCCTGGCTGATCCTCTAATTCCTTCCTTTGAGAGAAAAAGAAACCCTCATGTGCTTAACCCACTGTTAGTTTGGGTTTTCTGCAACATGAAACTAAACCTGATCCAAACTGACATACCTAATAGCCTTTAAATAGTCCCTGGGTAAAAAGAGGCCCTACCAAGGAGGCAATGCCCCAACGAGATTGTTTTGGGTTACTCCTTCCCACAACTCCCCTCTCTGAGAACTGCCCCATCCCCTCTGCCTCTGCCCCCATTCCCTGTCCCAGTCTGTGATTCATTTGACTTTTCTTCCCTCCAAGCATTAAGTCCTCTACACTAGACCAGGCTGGACCAACTGGTATTTGGAATTGAGCTGCTGAGAATGATTTAGTTAGCAGTGGAACTTGACACAAATTGTGATGTAGAGTGAGGCATGCCATGATGGGCCAGGCATGAACAGATAAATCTTCAAAGAGAGAACAGTGGAGTAAACGTGCAAAGAGGAGACAAGGAAGTACTCAAGAAGGCAGAGAGTGAGAGGCAGACAGAGGTTGGACTAACCGTGTGATCCCAGCTCCCAACTCCCTTCCCTGTGCAGAGCCTGGCTGTGTTTGGTTTCCCACTCCTGCAGAGATCCCTGCAATATCCTCTTCCCCACCATTTACTGTGAGTGGATTCCTATTTCCTGTTGCCAGCAGAACTTTGAGGGGACAGAGACAATTCTGGATACAACTTGCTATGAAGCATGTTTCATAACATTTAATTTTATGTCCCGAATTTTACCTTATGTGGTAGTGAGAAAAACATAAAACTGAACAACACGAACTATGTGAAATGAACATCTTGTGGTCAGCACTGAGAAACACATGATGGGAGTGCTGATACTACAGATTTTAATGCTGATAGTCAAAGGTTTATGTAAATATAAATGTCACTTTTATCATTTTGATGTGTGGATAAAACAGAACATAGTGGTAGCATCATGTTCTACATTTGCTTCCCTATGGATGAACTTTAAACATTGCAACATGTCTCTGACAAGGCTCTCTAGCCACATCAGTCTCCTGAGGTGAGTCTGAAAAACATGGCTTCTTCTTCCATCCCGTTATTTTTATGCACAGCCCACTGGGGTCACTATAGCTTATCTAGCCATAGCACAGAACCATCCAAAAAATACTAAATATCTTTTCCATAAAGATTACAAAAGCTTAAGTTGAAGCACAAATGGGAAATATAAGGATGAAATCACAGACAATTGGGGTTATTAGAGGCAAGAAAGCACTTTATAAAAGGAGTTTAGAAACACTTTACTTGGAGTCCTCTAATATTGGACAAACATATTTTTGAGCTGGTTTAGGGATAACACTTCTTGGAGGTAGATTATTAATTGTAAGGATGATAGTAAGGATAGTGATAATACACATAGATTGGTGTAAGTATATATGGTTTTTAAAGCACTTAAAGTGTATTTTCTCAATTTGTAATTCCCCTTTTCAGCTCCATCATTTCAAAGAAGGGAAGACTCAGAGAAGCTCATAGGCATGCTTAGTTATCCATTCTAATTTTTACTTACAGTTTGGGTTTGGCCAGGACTGGAGGGGGCTCTTTGACAGGTGAAGAAGGCTCAGAGATTTTTGCTGCCTGTCCATTGAATTTCTCCAAGAAAGAATCAGGCCTGATCTGGTTGGGGGCCACCATGCCACCCTCAGAGGACACTTCGCTTCCTTTGTCATCTTCAGGCAGGTTGAAGTGTACTCGGAGCCCAATCCTCGAGCTGGACCGGGGCTCATTGTGGTTCACCAGAACTCCTTCCAGTTTGGGTTTAGGGGGCGGTTCCACAGAAGGAGGCTCTGGGTTGGGTGGGGATGGCTGTTGCTCAGTAATAGACAGGTTGGTGGTGGAATTGGTTGGGTGAAGAGACCCATTGTTTCTGAGGTCTTCATTTCCTGAAATGACAATAATAGGGCCTGAGCTGTCAACCTAACTCAATAAGCTTGAGATGGGATTGTAGCCATGAGTTGGGACATGTGTGCAAACCAGATGATTATGCTAAAGGGAAAATGCTTGCCAAACACAGGGAATATAATCTGGAGCATTAAAGAATGGTGAGGATACAGGAAAAAAGCTAAACAAAAAAATTAAGTACTGTTTTGGAAAGAATACTGGAAGTTTATGTAAAACAAAGGAGATGTTTTCTTCAGAAGTATAATAGATAACAATAGGACAACTGGGGTGGTGGTGATGGTTATAAATGTAATAAGTTGAAAACTGGATATTGTTCAAGAACACTTCCTTCAATAATTCAACTTTTAAAAGGAGAACCAAGTAAGTTTCATATGAAAAGCAGTAAGGAAAGAAAATATAAACTCCCCATACTCATATTCACTAAGCCACACCAGCCAGGGCCATACTCATGTTCAAAGTCATAGTCTAAATTGTTCTGGCACTTAAAGAGCCCTTACCTCTTACATCTAGTTGTGCAATGCTTGACACTGTGCCATATTTATTGCTTGCAGTACATGTGAAACATCCAGAGTCTTCTGCAAATACTTCAGCAATGACCAGAGTACAAATCTCCTCTAAATGCCAATAAAACAAAATGGTTACTGACGTAATTAAGAAAATGAAATAATGGAATTTACTGATATCAGATGATAATTCTATGTAAGTCAATATAAGAAGTTGATTATACTAATTTTTTGAAAATAATTAGCCCAATGTTTTTAATTGAGTTGACTGATTAGCAGGCTAAATGAGTCAAAGCATATAGAACAAATAGTCCATTTAGACAGACTATGAACAAGAGAACTTTATGATAATATAATATATTATGGATTCTGAAATTATCTTCTATTTTCATGTTGTCAGTTCAGATGACCAAAGTAGAACCGAGGAACATTAACCTTAAAAATCACAAAAATAAATTAGGAGTTGAAGCAAAAGGAGGTTTGTGTGAAATAAAAGGGTTAATAATTTTTTTCAACCCAGATCTCTCACTATTTCTGAGGGAAACTTTTGCAGTGAGGTACTTTTAAAGGAAGGCCACAATTTAAAACTGGATAATAAATATTTTGCTTAGCTAGTAGTAATAGTAATTAGTCGATAGAATAATTTGAAAATCTGAGTGAAAGGCAAGTGAAATGCATTTTTTCCTTTGTAATACTACGCTAATTCTCATGGATTACTCCAATACAGAGCATGAACCCCCTTTTGAATGACTACAGAAGTGATTCCCAGATAGAGCCATATGTTTATAGTCTAAAATTCCTATAGTTGATGTTCCTTGGCAGCAAATGAAGACACAGGTAAGACAGTAGTCTAAGCCTCCAGTTATCACTGAGGAGAAAAGCACGGTTTTATAAGGAGAAAACTTGACATTTCAGAGTTTCATAACTAAAATAATTAGCTGGACAACCTCTAGGAAACCTGAACAGGAGGCCATGGCAGACAGCATTGAGTATCTGCTCAGTAACTCTACATCCTCCTTCCTCCTTGTTAACAGATTCCTAACTTTGTCTATCCTCCTGGGAGTGATCATATGCCTCACGGCAGGCTGCCCTTGCCCAGCCTCAGGTGGTGAATTGTGATTAGTCATGCTAAGCCACTCGTGCTAACTTTATTCTTGCTAAGTGATGGCATGTGACACACAATTCTGGTCAATGAGATATTGGGGAAAGTCACCTGGGGAGTTTCTGAGAAAGTTGTTCTTGTTCTTTACATGGGACAACAGAGAGTATTATTCCCTATTTTTGTCTCTGAATATTATCATCTGCACTTAATACCCATAACTGTGGCAACAATCTTGGGTATATGAGAGAATCAGCCTAACAGGATACTCTAAGAATGGCAGAATGGAAAATGAAAAAAAAATTGGCCATGATGATCTCTGAGATACTAAATTAACCAATCTCAAGACTGCCATTTCTTAGGGTACATTGCTGTGTGAGAAAATACATTTTTCTTATAGCTCAAGCCACTTTTACCTAGAATTTCTTTACTTACTGCCCCAAGAATCCTAAATGATAGGCAAAGTTTGGTTTTGGTGGCTCTCTGTCCTTTTTCTGAGCCCTTAGCTGTGCTTCCTTTTCTCTGTTCTCCTTCCCAAACATTCATGATTTCCTTTTTCAGTAACCTGCTCTCAGAAAATGATCTGATAAATTCTCTCTCTACACTATACCTTACTGATAAGATAAAGCATTTTGTTTCCACAGGGTACTTGAATTATACAAGGAAGAACTCTCTGGCTGTGAGATTTTAGATGACGGAGTTGGGAAAGGCAGGATTTGTTGTGGGCAGGGACCACTTTTGAGTGACTATGAAATTATTTTGTATATGAGACTGCCTAGTGAAAATACATGGTTTGGATGAATGTGTCAATGGCCTGCAATATTTTCAAGGGGAAAGATACTTCTCCACTACATGCAATGCAAGAATAAGATCCCGCTGGTCTTTACTATGTATCCCCAAGGGCTTAGTGCAGGGCTATGCAATATGGATGTTCAAAGTCTACTTCTGGAATGCCTTTCCATTCAGTTTCCAGAAAAGAGTTATAATAATGAAATTCCAAACCATCATTCTTACCCAGGGGTAAAAATACAATGTGATATTTCAGGGAGATCAGAAAGAAGACACTCAGGTGTTTATGCTTGGAAGGTGAGTGACTTGTATTTTTTAGAGGTAAGAGCTTCACCTAGTTGTCACTTCCATGTCATCTTAGTGTCCTTCCAACTAAATCTAATACCACCATGGACATTGTCTTGATTCTGTAAATTCAAAAATCTGATGCATAAGTTTTCAGAATCATAGGCTGCAAAGTTGGATTCGATCTAGTATTATGGAAATTGCTCTGCTCAGTTTTGGGGGTCATGAGTAGGGGACAAAGAAAGAGGGAAGATATTTCTAAGAAACATTCCTCAATACCAAGAACGAACTGCATTCATATTAGGTAGTGGATACATATTCCAAATTTGCACATGCACTCCTTTCTTCCTTTACAGTAATAGCTAGAGTTGGCTTGGATTTTTTCCCTAAAACCTTATTTCTCACTTTTTCTTGACACCAGTGTAATTCCAATATATTTTGTTATGTGTATCAAATCACTGATCACATACTCATAAATTAAAGTTAAAATGATATTTACCTGGTTCTGCCATGGACCGAGGTTCTAAAAGAAAAAAAAATTAGAAGAGTCTTAGCATTTATTTTACTGATAGACTATATTTTCATCAGGAGCTTTCTATAGAATTTCATAGTCACTTGCATACTCATGAGTGATTTGCTAAGGTTAAGTTGTAAATTTTAAGTAAAATGACCTAAGCACCAGTGGCCCCCACAGGGACCAGACACTTGTGACAGAAGGACAGCAAGAGAGCTGCTCACTAAATGACATTGCCGTATCTTGAGACACACCTGGGTTGCACTTGAGACATGTGAACCTTAGGTGAAGAAAAGTTACTGAGTTAGCTGGGATTCAGGAACCACTGGCTTTTATTGGTAACCATTCAGCCTTACCTGGAAAAAAAAAAAAGACTGAGACTTTGTGAAGACTGAGAGATTATTTTTGTCCTTGGGCCCTCACATCCTAATGAAATGTAGAGTGTACCTCCTGCTCTAAGATTTCTAATATTAGGAGCTTCAAGATTAGGTGACAGGTTCCTTGAGAGCTGGTCCTTTATCTTAAAAGTTTTTTGTGTTTCTGAAAATGCCCACATGGTACTGCATACAGGTGTTCAATTAATGTTTACCAAATTGTAGGCACTCAGTCAGTAGTCATTAGTTACAATCTTCTACACTGATAGAATATTGAATTTTTTTCTTTTTTATCAATTTTATTGCCACTCAGAATGTATTATATTGTCACTGCCACTGCTGTTAAACTTAATAGTAGCTTGATTCATGTATCATACTGATTCATACTACAGTTTTGTGAGAGGCAGAAAACAAAAAAGCAGATAAATTTCCATGTGTTTTATGCTGAAATGGGTCAAGGTGAACGCACTTACATGACAAGAAAAGAAGAATTAACCACTTGACTATATAAGTAATTCTTACAATAAAAAAATCTAATATAAAAATGAGCAAAGGATGTGATCAGGTAATTTAAAAATAAAGAAATACAAAGATTAAGTAAATATGAAAAAAAGCTCTATCCAACATCTAATTAGTGAAGTGCAAATCAAAAGACGTGTTCCCACTTGGGGTCTATAAAATTAGTGAAGATAAAAACATATTGAATCCCCACAGTTAGTGAAAGTATGAGACAAAAGACATTCCCATGTATTGTTGGCTGTCGTGAGGCATAGCTAGGATGACATGTGTCCCAGTTCAGCTGGGACAGACCTGGTTTATTCCTGGGATCATTATGTAATTATTCATAGCACCCTCTTTCACTCCCCGAAGTGTTTCAGATTGGGTGATAAATTATGTGATCATCCTAAATTTAATTCAACCTTTTGAGATGGCATTTTCACAATATATATTACAAGTGTAAGAAAAGTTAATTTACAATAGCAATTCTCATACTTGAATTTATTTTATATTCACAAAAATTTTCTGGTAACATGCATTGAAGCATAGTTTATAACAGTAAATATTTGTGAACAATCTAAATGTTCAACAATAGGAAATTAGTTATATTGATATATCTTTAAAAGCAAGAAAGGCCTACATTTATTAACATGGAAAGATGTTCATTAAATGTTCAGTAAAAAAACTAATTTGCGAAAAGGAGTATGTTTTACAGTGCCATACAATATTATATCAGTTCCAAGTGTACAACCCAGTGATAAGACATTTATATAACTTACAAAATGCTCACTCCAATGAATCTAGTATTTATCTGACACCATAAAAGATTATGATTCATTTTTATTAAAGATATGCATGAAAAAATTTTTGGAGAATATACACCAAAATATTAATAGCATTTAGTTTGGGGGATTATGATTTCAAGTGATTTTTATTTTATCCTTTATTACTATATTTTAATTAACTGTTAAAAATTTATGAAATAAATGTATACAATATATTTATAAAAATTAATTATCAGATAAATATTTTTAAAGCATCAACTTACTTTTCTGTAAAATTCTAAAATCTGGAGAATCTTCTATCAAGGTCCCTTCTCTGTACCACTCAACTTTAGGAGATGGAGCTCCTTTCACTCTGCATTCAAAGACAACCAGCTGACCCTCAGAGGCTGATAAATTTTGTAACATCTATAATGAGAAGGATATTATTAGAACCAAAAAGTGTACATTTTGAAATCTAGTTCCAGTGCTGAATTTTAGGAAAAGATACTACTGCCTCTGTATTTGGATTTTCCCCAAATCTTCCACAGCTCTAACAGCTTCGATTCTGTGCATGTGCATTGTCTTTATGACCCTGTTTCCTCACTATCTTCTTCCTTTTCCTCTCTGTTGAAGTGCTGGACAAGTTTATTAAATACCAGGGAAAACATTTTTGAACAGATCCAAAAGATATTAATTTGTTGGTAAAGTACTTCTGTTCTTAAATGCCTACGTGGTTTCCAAAAATAATAACAATTTAAAAAATCTGCAGTGAGTATCTACTGGGGTACTCAGCATAAGAATAACGTATTTTTCCACACAAGAATATTGCTATCCATGAAGTGTAACATCACTTTGGCCCGAGTTACTGACTCTGTTTTTCTAGCTTTGCTTTATTTACATTGTATAGTCTTGGAAATTGACTTTTGTTTTGTTATTTTGTTTTCCTTATGTGTTCTTTACAGTATAGCCTCAACATCTGTTCAGGGATATAAATAATGACAATCTCTATGAAATCATAGTCACATGTCTCAGAGCCTTAGGTCATGGTGAAATATCTTGTAATTTTGTGAAGGTATTATTAAATGTTTTTCCATACTTTCACAAAAAAAGGTTTACAAAAACTATTTGGAACTGTAAAATATCAGTATATTCCATGATAGACTCTATGAGAGAATGGAACTCGCATTATCAAAACTAATCTTTCTCTCATCATGATTTGTGAACTTGAAGTCACACATTCGTGTAGAAGGTGATTCATTTGACTATGAAATGTTTCTTAGGTATGTGTGTGAGCACGTTTTTGTTTTTAACTTTGGACCAAATATTATAAACAGAAAGGTTATGATTAACTTCCTCCATAAGTTCTTTTAGTAACAAATGCTGCAATGCTTTCTATTATTACAATTTTGGGATCTGCAATTAGGATATAGTGAGTGGCTCAGAAAATCTTCAGAGAAGGGGGAATAGCCAATTTCTTTTTTTGCTTTTGTTATTCACTCATAAATATTTGGTGATTGTTTATAGCTCTTGTCTGAACAATTTATGGTATTTGGTGTATGGCCGTATTGTATTTATGGCATCTGTCTAAGGAATACCGGGGTGGGGATAACCATGTGGTTTTAGCTATAGTAGATTTTTACTTCAGAGGGGTGTCAGGGTGGCCAGGGGGTGTTGTAGTTCAAAGTTAGTGTTTTGTTCTTTTTCGTGTTTCCAAATTTATTTGCTGAAGTATTTCAGGGTGGGATTTCCACAGAGTGGTTTCTGGATTAATAAGGAATGATTTGATTAAAACCCTTTTTATTCCTTGTCTACTCAAAACAACATCTTCTAGTGACAAGAATGAAATGTTCTCAGTAAGCAGGGAACATCAGTGAGTCTTGAGTGCCCTAGCAGGCTGGTGAATGTGGCCCCATTCTGACATCTGAGCAAATTCTGTGTGAAAACAGAAATTTGGGGGCCTATTAAATACTTTAATGGTAGTCAGACATCTCCCTGGGATTCATATGTAATGGAGTTTCATTCCTTCTTCTTCTTCTTCTTTTTTTTTTAAGATTTTATTTATTTATTTTTAGAGAGGGGGAAGGAAGGGAGAGAGAAACATCAATATGCGAGAGAAACATTAATCGGCTGCCTTTCACAGGCCACCAGTCGGAGACCTGGCCTGCAACCCAGGCCTGTGCCCTGACTGGAAATCAAACCATGACCTTTAGGTTTGTGAGACAGTGAGCAATCCTCTGAGCCGCACCAGTCAGGGCTCTTTCCCTCTTCAGGCAAACAAATTAGAAAAACAAACAAGGAAACACAACCAACAAAAAAGGTGGTAATGGCAGAAGGAATTGAATAAATAAAATATGGCTCTTTTTAAAAACAGATGTAAGCAGAATGAGGTCAATTGATATATTTTGACATGGCTTGCAGTCCAGTTCAGATATATAAGCCAGTTCTCAATCTGCAGAGGTTATAGCAAAGCCCTGCATGAAAAAGGACCTCCTTTGGAGAATACGTTGCTCACAATTGAGGACAACATTATTATTATTATTAGTTACTTGACATTGACAGCCAAGACCTGTGTCCGATATGAGAGTTTAGCCAAGATACCTGGGTTACTGCAGTGTATGGAATATTCCCACTAAATGCCTGCGATATAGGATAGAAGCTGATTCCAGTGTGCCACATCGTCAATACTCAGTAAAGGAAGTGCCGAGGGATCATCTTACAAGCCCCTTAGAAAAAGTTGTTGAAAGTCATAGTTTGAAGGACAGTAATAGTGGTTGTTGCTGAAAACTGCTTCTCTACAAAAGTCTCATGGAAGGAACTGGCACACATTGTTGCACATCAGCGTTCAAAACAGTTGCACTATTTGCACACAGTGTAGACAGTGCCACGTTCACACCGGTAGTGAGTACTAGGTTGTTATTGATGGCACAGTGTGTACACTGTGTACAGACTTGATCATAATCATCCAAATTTCACTGAAGACAAATAAGGCAAATGAAACATTCCCCAACTGGCAAAGGTTAAGTCAGTCTTAACTAAGAATTATGGGTCTGGACTGAAGTCACTCTAACCAACTGTCCACAACCTCTTGAGGTAAACAGTATCCAAAGTGCAAATCTGTCTTGTGTGTCATCGCCATGCTGGTCATTTGGGAAGACATTCTTTGTAGGGTGACTTGACTATGCAGAGCCATTTGATATTGGAATTTTTTTTTCTATTCCCCCTAAAGACACTCAGACCCCACAAATCGATGAAAGCAGTAATTCCTTCTTAGCTGATGTGGAGGTTGTTCACCACAGAATAAATATTACTGTGTGCCTGCTTTGTGCCAAGCCCCGTGCCAAATGCTGTACTTGTGAGTTGAAAGGACACAGTTCCTACTTAGTAGATCCTACCCACAAATATAATGCAGGGATATCTTGAGGAAGGGCATCTTCCTTTTTGATTAAAAGATGTCAGCTACAAGGTTCATACTGTCATTTTATTTCTTTTTTTAATCTAGTTGACATTTTTGCAACTTGGAAGATGCTGCAAATGAATGTTTTTAATGCTTTAGGCCGGAATTGGATCAGAGCATTATTTACTGATAAAGAACTGTTTGACTGAGGACCCTTTGCCCCTTGATTGCCACAGGTGCCCTGCGCAACAGCTGAGTCAGTAAAGTCTCTGGAATTGTCAGGTTGGGAGAGGGGCCCGTGTAATCTTTAGAAAACTGGATCCAGTTACTGGTCCAGTTATTTCAGGGTTTCCTGCCTCTGATATTATATAATGAAAGCACACTTCTTTAAATTCTCACTTCCCCTGCCCCCTTGCACTCTTCAAATTACTGCTGAAGCAGCTGGAGCCAGGGCTGCTGCAGCCTTGAAAGTCCGCCAGAGCAGCTGCTGCTGGAGTGGGAGCGGTGTTAGGCGTAAGATTCTAATTTGATCACCTACCTCCCTTCACACTCAAGAAGTGTGAGCACTGTTTTTCCCCCATAAATAGAGTGAAAGTGTCTTTGATACTGATAGAGGATGAAGGATGGTCTATCGCTGTAAAATATTTAAACACATAGGTATCACCTGTGATCATAGCAGTGACCTAACACATAGAATCTCTGTCTTCTCTCGAACTCTACCACTGTTTTGTTGGGTGGCCCTCTTTTTAATTTTAGCCTTAAAAAAAAAGACAATACCTGTACATCCCTATCATCACATAAGGCACAAGGAGTTAAATAAAACTCTGCTCTATAACTGACATTTAAAAAAAATTGACTTCTTGCCATTGCTGTACTGGCAGAGAAATGCTTTGTTGGGCAGTATAGAAAGTGAGTCATGGGGGTTGAAATGCCAGAAGTTTCTAATGAAGTAAATAGAGTGGAAATAACTCTAATAAACATATGCAAATGATCAGTTATCATGGCTCATGCCACATGATTACCACCGCTTGTGGCTCTGACTCAGAAATTTTCTAAGGACACTGGCAGTGACTATGACCTCAATCCTGCCTGCCTTGATGGAAACTAACGCAAGCATGCTGTTGCTGGTAAGTGTCTCTGGAATCTGAGTCAGCCTATCATAGTCCCCATGTCTGAACAATCCTGGCCTCATTTAGGGAGGCAAAAGCATGCATCTGAGGGCTCAGAAAGCCTGATCAGAGTTTGGGCCTTTGTATTAAGGACCATTTTCCCACCATCTAATGGTTGTTTTTTTTAATTTGTTGTTTAGATTTATCTAACAAACAACATATACTAGTGATTATTCATTTTCCCCTTTTTATTTATCAGATGCATATATGTATTTGCCAATCAGCATCTAATTAGAATGAGGTAATCAGAGTCACCATATAAAGGCAGCTAAACCTGTTGTTCTGATTGGTCCATGAAAATAAAATGTAAAGAATAAGCATTAAAGTCCTACTGTACTTTTTGGAATAATAAAAATGACTTTGAACCTAATATTACATTTATGTATTCTGATCTAGGTATTAGAGATAGCCTTCAAGGTACTTGAGAGAGACAGAAAAGTAAACAATTTTATTATTGTGCTGAATGTTGTACCTGAAGTTAGCACCAGGTGATACAGATGCAGGGGAGATAGAGCACCCAGGAAGATTTAAAAGTGAGTGAGAGGGGCAGTTTGTAGTGAGGCAGAGAAAAGAGGAGGGGATTAGGTATACATATTATTCTGTGATTTAGTTGCCTTTGAAGAGTCAGCACTGTCTCCAGGATGTGACAAATGGGCATAACAAATTAAAGTGTCTCGATTTCTGGGGCACTTAAGCTCTGTTTTAAGGCAAAGTGACTTAGCAGTGAAATAAGAGACAGATAGCTCTATTAGCTATAGTACACATACGTGCACACATTCATTTGTAACTCTTCATCAAAGTCTTATATTTGCCAAGTCACAACATATTGCTTCCCTACTTCAAGTCTTTGAAAAATGCAATGCTAAAATTCTAAAAGTAGTTTACAAAAAATGGATCTGAAAAATCAAGAGGCATCTTGTTTCACATGAGAATGTTGAGCTAACTAATATGCATATGGATAAACATGTCTCACTCAAGACTCTGGTTGATTTTGGAAAACTATCTTGGATGAACTGATATGGTGGAACTATCCTAAAAAAATTTAATGTAACTCAATTTTTTTACCTTTTAATTTATTGCCTTGTATAACATATAAACTAAGCCAATATTTTACAAGTGAAAGAACATTGAGCAAGAATTGGGAAAACATGTTTCTAGTCTTGATTCTACTGCTAACTAGTTTTGTGACGCTGGATAAATTGCTTAATCTCTCTGGTTCTCACTTGTTGTTGTTGAGGTTTTTTTTTTCCATTTGTAAACAAAAGTCCTTGGGTAAAACTTCCAGTTCTAATACAAAGACTGTGAGACCCAGAACTAATGCCATTGCAATAGTTGATACCAGGAAATAGAAAAATAGGATTCATTGTCCTAGAATGAGGCTTTATATTAAATTAAGCCTCTTAGAACATTTAACTCCACCTGACTGAGCACCAAAGACATTTTTTGGTGCAAGTTTGTTCTTTTGAAAGTTCATCCAGAGAAACCTTTGGAGTATTAAGTGGCTAGAAACTTATCACCTGACCCCTAGGTGTGGCTATTGTGTTTAACAGCAATAAGGTTATCACCTTAGAGATCAACGTGGTAAGTGGGGAAGACATTTCTTTCATTACACAAACTGTTACTAGAAATCTGGGACTTGAATGACGTGGTAACAACTACTGAAAACCCCAAATCCTATACTGTACTTTTAACAGACCAAAATCCTGAGATAAAACCAGTAAATATTGGATCTTACAAATTTGTTTGGGTACTGGAGTGTATTTAAAGCCATGACAGAAAGAAGTAATATTTTGATTACCTTTGTAAACACAGGAGCTGCAATGATAGGTTTTCCATCCAGTCCTTGCAAATAGTTGGTAGGGCTCCGACACTGTTAGAAGGGAATGAACAATAGATTTACTGTCCCTATCATTATTGGATACATAAATAAGTAAACACAACACATTTATAGAATTTGGTGTATGAAATTAATATAAAACCAAAAGACTGACATTTTCTAAGTCTATGAATCACAGATTTCAAATTTTATACTGAATTGACTGGGCTTTTTTTCTAGGTCATTGTGGCTGTAAATATGTGCCCACCACCTCACAAATGAAGCTAAATCCCTGAAGAGTTACCATAGAACTCCTGAGCCTCCACAGATCACGATTTGAAAACTATTAGATTAGAACTAAAATGTGACCCCTTCTGCATTACTAAATGGCTTAGATAAGTCACTGTTTAAATTTTTTAAAAATGGTTTTATGTCAATTAAATATCAATAAAGCATTACAAATATGTTTGCATTAGTATGATTTTATATTTTTAGATCTATGGTATCTCATATGTGTGTGTGTGTGTGTGTGTGTGTGTGTGTGTGTATTTATATATATATGCCTAGAAAATGCATGCAATTATCTGCTAGAAACTATTAAAAGAGGGTATCTCTGAAGAGTGGGGGCATGAGAGTAGAACCTTAAGTTTTACTTAATATATTTCTATATTTTTTTAGTGTTTTCACATTAAGCATGTGTTATTATTATCATCAGCATCACCATCATCATCAACTTGAAGAATGAGAGGCTTTAATGTATTTTAAAAAATAATTTCATGGTTGTTATCTTAGAAAGTAGACTTCTTTACAGCTCCATGAAACTGAGTTTTCTGATATAGAGTTGTCTTGGGCCGTTGTGAGAACCGTATCAATAACCTAATGCCAATAAAGCTGGAATTTTAGAGACTAATTTGTAAAGAGTTTTTTTTCCTATGAAAGTTGCCTATGAAGCTAAAGAATATGTTCTCAAAGCAATAGGAACCACTGATACTGTACATCAGAAGTACAGCTTATCATGATCATAGAAGTGTGTTACCTAAGGCCATTATGAAGGTGCAACAGAGAAGAACATGATCATGTCATACAAGATGGTCATGGTCACAGTGCCTGTCTGTCACAGTCCCTGGCATTTGCATTTCACTTAGCTTCTTGTACCTGCTGGATGATTGGCACACTCGGCTGGGCCACCACATGTTGGGCTTGGGGTGCTGCTGAAGGAATGGCTGCAGAAGTAGTGGGAGGGGATGACACCTCATTTGGCTTCTGGACTCTGAGAAATGATTAAAATATGTATAAACAGACCTATCATTTCTTGTGAAAATTCTTTCAGCAAAGTTAGTCATGTTATCCCTGCTTATAGTTAGATGTAATACAAATCTTTGGTCAACAATATTCCACAAGCTATTACTGAGAGCTTCTTTGTTCTACACTTTGTTGAATGTAAACAGGAAGAGGATAAAATACCATTCTTGTTCTTGAGTTAGTTGCTCTCAGCCAAGCTGGAGACTTGTGCATATTTACAACCGAGAGTCCAGACAACTGCTATGACTGAACATGTGCAGAAGATAATTTTTGAGATTTGTCTTGTTGTTGCCCTCTGTATTTTCCCTCCCCCTCCTATTTCAAGCAAGACACCAACCAAGCTTTGTAAATCTTTGCTTCTGGGATTTTGGCATGGCAGAAAGATGAAATAGCCTGAGTCAATGAGCTCTTCAAGTTTACACAAACTAAAGAGATTCTTTGAAGGGCAAGAGAGCCAAGAAATATTCTTAAAGAGGATACAGAGGGGAGATTATTTTAGTTTTGTGGATCTTGCCAGAGAACCTGACAAGAGGGAGAACCTGAGTCCAGAGGGGATGGTAACCCCTGTGATTAAAGGGTCCCACTCTCGCTAAAGTTATCAGTACCCAAGTGTATCAGGAAGCACTGCGCTCAAAGGGAACTTGAAGTCTGGAACATGGGCCTCTCCCTTGTGTGGGTAGGTGACAGATGACAGAATGGGTTTCCATTTCGTTTATTTCTTTTAAAAGATTTTATTTATTTGTTTTTAGACAGAGAGGAAGGGAGGGAGAGAAACATCGACTGGTTGCCTCTCACATGCCCCCCGCCAGGACCTGGCCAGCAACCCAGCATGTGCTCTGACTGGGAATTGAACTGGTGACCTTTCAGTTTGGGGGATGATGCCCAACCCACTGAACCATGCTAGTCTGGGCCCTTTTTGTTTAGATGTTACCTCTGTCTGCCTCAGCTTCCTTGTTTCTCAAATGGGAAAATAATTTTTTTACCTCATAGGGTTTTTGTGAGGGTTAAAGAAGGTAATTCATGTTGGATGCATAGAGCAGTGTTTAACATCAAACACTATTTGTATCCATATCCATATCTATAGCCCAAGGATCTTTTCACAATCATGGAGGAGGAAGGGGACATCCAATAATGACTGATTAAATATTTTCCTAGCCAGGTAAGTTGGGGCCTCAGAAGCAGAATTATGTCATGATACAGAGGCTATCAGTGTTCCCAAAGCACCTATTTTCTTTTTCTACAATAATGGAAACCCTGACTTTTTTACATGGCTACTCTAAATGAAGACCTCATTTCCCAACCTTCACTGAAGGTAGTGTGCCCACGTGACTACTTTCTGGTTATGAAATATGAGGAATAGTGATGTATGTGATGTAAGAGAAATGACCTTAAAAGAAGGGCAGGGCATGCTCTCATTTCTTCCAGTTTTAGACTTAGAAGATGAGAGGCCACACCTTAGAATTAGATGAAGGAGAAAGCTGAAAGCAGACTGGAACTCAGTGGACTGTGAAGTGGGTTTAGCAGCTAAATCCATATTTTTTATGCAAATGAGAAATAAATATCTGTCTTATTTAAGTCATTATTTTGAGAGTCTATTACACATATCTGAAGCTAAATCCTACCTATCACAAGTAGATATAAAGAAAGTAAACAAATGAAATTTTTCTTGTTTATTTAAGGATGTGTATCAAAATTAATACACATTAGGCTTATAACTATATTATGAAAGCCTTGAGGAAGGAGGCATAAATGTGCAATGGAAGAGAAGTTTATTATAGACTGGGTTTTGAAGACTAGGCAGAGAAGGAGATAGGACATTCCTAGCAAAGTGCACAGCTTGAAGAAGGGGGCAGGGATTAACTGTACATTGTGTGAGTGATATGGTAACAGTGTGTAGAGCTTGAGGTAGGGGAGTGGGGAGGAGAGGGCAAGAAGGCCTGGTTGATACTCTACTGAATAAGGCTTTGTGTGCCATGTTAAGATTTTAAAAAAATGTTTGTTTTGTATTTTATTTTCCTGTAGATAGTTTTTTAAGTCAAGAAAATGATTGGATCAGAATTATTTTTTAGAGAATAACTGGTTGTATTTGGAAATTATAAAAAAGAAAAAGGCTGGGGTACCTGTAAGGAGGTGACTGGCAATAAAGAGGCAGGAAAAAAGGAGAAACTGAATTGAAGCCATGAGAATAAGGAAGTGAGTTGAAGGGAGAAATCATCTACTCTGGCTATCAATTTTCATATCTGGACAAAAGCAAAAAGCAAATTGTCATTTCAAGGTAGGCCTACAAAAAGGATTTTGAAGAATAAGATATAATTTCTGCCCTTAAAGAGTGATTACTCCCTGTAAGGGAGGACAGAACATGCAAACACAGCCAACAACTCTCTAACCAGTCTTCCAAATATTGCTGCTTGTTTCAGGTGGTCTCAAGGAATGGCTATTCTGTTTCCAGTTCTCATGCCTTCTCTCCACAGCATGCTCGGCCACAATGACCTTCTCTCTCTTGTTTGGGGGTGTCCACTGACTGTTCTTTCAAGCTTCTGCTGAAGGCCACCAACTATGTATCACCTTTCCTGATCTCTCTTTCCCTCCTCAACCAATTGAGTTTTTTATACCAAGTCTTTTGCACCTTGCACATAATTGTCTATTATACTTTATTACTCTTACTATCTATATGCTTGATATATATTTCTTGCTATATTTGCTATGTATTTCATTCTACTAGACTGTAAATGGGAAGGCAGGAAGTATCTGATTTTTCTTAGTGCCCATTGCATCTTGTGAAGTGTGTGGGATAGAGTAGGTACTTAATCAATATTTGTGGAAAGTAATGAATAGGTGAAAATAACAGTTTAGTACTCGGTACAATTGTTCCACAAAAAGGTGGACTTGCCTAGGTCACTCACATATATAATTTAGTATCACCAGCTTTTGTGTTCTTGTGAATAGTGTTATTTAGTCAAAAAACATGAATTTTTTGAACCACTGTTTTTTTCACTCTGTAGATATAGGTATGATAATATTTCATTGGTTATACCTCATTTTTAAAATATTAGAAATGTTAAAATTAATCTGCTAGGCAAGACTTAAGCAAAATTAGAATTACCGATTCATTTCTTCCTTGTTAGGGTCCCCTTCTGAGTCAGAAGAAGAAGCCCCTGGAAATAGAAAAACAAGACATGAAACTTTTATGCTAATTTTTAAACTGGTTCCAAGGCATTTGAAGACCTATAGAATTTCAGACCTAGAAATGAACTCAGTGATTCCCTATACTAACAGTCACTTTTACATATAAGGAAAGAGACCCTAAGGAGATGAAGGACTTGCTCAAGGTCACATGGCTAATTAGTGATAGAGTTCCAATTAACTGGTCCAAATTCCAAATGTTCTTGTATATAAAACACTTGCTGATGCCTTCGGACTAACAAAATACTCTTTGAAGACATTAATATGGTGTCCATCAATTCTCTTGCTCCTGACCCACACAGATTAAATAGAAGAAGGGATTATGCGTATGTTGGATTCCAAACATTGTAGGTGTAGGTGGATGCTCTTCCTTCCAGTCCTAATATTAACAGTCACATTTCATCTTAGGAGTGGGGTGTTTGAAGCTCTGTTGCCACAAATTTAAAAAAATCAGCGATCCAATCTCAGCACTCTTGAGTAGAGCTTTGATCCTGGATTTACTTCTTAATATAGTGAATTCCAGAAAGATTTAACAGAGCTAAATCTGGGGGCATTTATTGTACTCCAAAAATTTGAGAATGAATACATACAATACAATTCTATTCATTTATTATTCATTATTAGTATCTTTATTCACACATCTATTCAATAAATGTTTATCAGATACCCACTACGTACTTGGCACTATGTTGGAGACACAGAAGAATGAGACAGTACCAGCCTTACAATCTAGTTTGTAAATGGGCACTTATACCATAATACTACAATATTTAAGTGCTGAAACCAAGGCATACATAAGGTATTATAGCTGATAAAAGTGCTGAAGAATGGTTCTCAGAAAAACCCAGTGGATGAGATAAATGCAAGAAAACCCCCTTATCATAGATATATAAGGAACATAAATTGATTTATTCCCTAAAATTAGTCATATAAATTTGGTGCTGATATCAATCCTTTCCAAGGCTGCCTAATGGTCTCCCTTCTTTTACCCTTGAAGCCCTGTGGTATATTCTCACCCAGGAGCCAGAGTGACCCTGTTAAAAGCTATGTCAGATCATGTCACATCTCTGTTCAGAATTCTCTATAGCTTCCCATCTCCCTCAGAGTACTAGTCAAAGTCCTTGCAAATGACTTTTGAAGACCTATATAATCTGCTCACCTTCCTCCTCCCATCTTGAGCCCATCTTGAACTTTTGACCTAACTGATCCTTTCTTCCTTGTTTCCTCCACCCTGGCCACATTGACTCATCTCTGTAAGACAGGCACACTCCTACCTCAGGACCACTGCACTTGCTTATTTCTCTGCCTAGAGTTCTTTTCCCTTGAATATCCTTATGGCTCATTGCTTCCTTTCCCCCAGGTCTTCACCTACATGTCGCCTAGTTAGTAAGGTCTTCCTTGATCACTCTATCTAGAATTGCAGCCTACACACACACACACATCCATACTTCCTATCCCCTTTTCTTCCTTTCTATGCATATTCCTTCCATAGTGTATGTGTATATATATTATATATATAATGAGAATAATATATATATTTTTCTCATTTATATACAAATAAATAGATATCTATATCTATCTATCTATCAAGAGAATAAAATATATATTGGTCACTCCCCCTGGCTCCTGGCACAGAACCCCTAAAACCCTTAAAATTTCCTAAGTGATGAGCCCTTTAGAGCATCTCTTTTTCTAATTTGTCTTTGACCGCATTCCTAATACAGGGCTCCTAAAACTCATATGAAGTCCTAAGTGATAAGGGTGCTAGGTGCATATTTTGTCCTAATAAGATAACTGGGTGGGCTCTTCTCTGGTTCCTGGATGGGGGCTGATCACCAGAAAGACTGAGCCATGATTAGAAGCTTGGAATTTTCAGCCCCATCTCCAATTCCCTAAGGAGTAAAGAGGGGCATGAAATGGAATAAATAATTGATCATGCATATATGAGGAAGCCTCCTTAAAATCTGATGTGAACACCGGCCCACAAGTGTCTGTGGTGTTATGGATGAGATACGAGACAAATTCACATGGACTACCAAGTGCTGTGGGGAAAAGGGATGGTGCGGCCATTCTTTCAAGAGGAAAGCTTCCCGACCCTTGCCTTGACAGGTTTTATTGGGTTCAATTTGCATGGGAATAAAGCTCATCAATCATTGTCAGGCAGAAATGATTAAATAATAGATAACATTCAAAGAACTCTGAGGGCCTATTTTGAGTCAGGGTCAGATAGCTACAGGGCCATAAAACTTTGGGGAACAAACTCACTTCCTGCTTGGTCCTTTATTATATAAATTGAGGGTATTAGCAAAGTAGGCTTCACAGGATTTTGCGTATTCTGTCTTAGGTCTGATAGCCCTAGGGAACCCACCCTTTCCAGCATAGGGCTGTACCCACCACTGGTATTGTTTCAGGCTTAAGGCATTGTTTCAGGCTTAAGTCAGGCAGGGGAAGTAAGGCAGCCAAGAGATTAGGAGACTTCTTGCAGACAGAATGAGAACTCAGGCTATGTCAATGCCAAGGGGTGAGGGTCCTTCACCCCTTTTTCTATAGCCCCCAAGTCCTTCCCTGGGGGCCCCCATGATTGTGCCTGTCTTAGATCATCCCTCCCTTGAGGAATCTTACCTGTCATTGGCTAACTGATCAAGCATTGGGGGCCAGGCAGGGTGAAGTAAAAGAGGCAGAAGCAGCACCCCTGCCAGGGAGATAAGCTTTGTCTCCTTAGTGGCTTATGGTCCTAAGGTTGCTCACTCAGCCTTAGCCATGGGGTGGGATTACAGCTTCTGAAACCAGACAGGGTGGTTCCCAACAAAAATCTCAATAGTATGGGGGTTTGGAGAGCTTTCAGGTTGGCAAACACATCCACACCCTGAGGGTGACACTCCCCAGTTCCACAAGGACAGAAGTTCCTACACTCTGGACCCTTCCAGAGCTCATCTTCTTTATCTACTCATCTGTATACTTTATCCATCTGTATACTTTATCATATAATTTTATAAACTGGTTAAGTTTTTTTCTGAGTTTTGTGACCCACTCTAGCAAATTAATCAAAACTGAGTAGGGGGTCATGGGAACCTCTAATTTGTAGCCAAGCCAGATAGAAACTGTGGGTAACCTGGGGACCTATTATTTGTGATAGACATCTGAAGTGAGGTGGGAGCAATCTCATAGGATAGAACCCTTAACCTATTAGATCTGACACCATCTCCAGGTAGATGGTGAGATAAATTGTAGGATACCTAAATGGTGTCTTGGAGAATTGCTTGTTGATATGGAAAGCAATCCCCCTCCCTGCCCCCAACACACACACACATTGGAATTGGTAATCTGAACCATTTCATATACCTATCATGTCATGTATCTTATTTATCGACCTCATTTATTTTATGTCTCTACATTACACTATAAATTCCATCTTTCCATGAACCTAAGAATTTTTGTCTACTTGGTTCACTTTTGTTATCCCCACTGCCTAGAAGTGCGTGTGGTAAAGTAAGCCCTCAATAAATATTTATTTATTATAACTATATGTCTTACTAACAAGTGCCATGTTCCAAGAGTATTTTGCTTTACCTTCTATATAAATCTCAGCAGAGGTTGAATCTGTCCCATAGATGTTAGAAGCAAAGCAGGAATATCGTCCTGTATCCTCTTCAAAGGCTTCAGCAATGGTCAGTGAGTGCAGATTTCCCGCCTGGACAATATGAATGTCTGGGGAATTTTCAAGCTCCTTGCCTTCACAATACCACCTGTAAGGAAGGAGATATTGGACACAACTGAAATGTGAGAATTAATAACACAGATGGCTCCAGATGTTCCTAAAGAAGAGAACTGTGACAAACTTAGAGTGAGAACATGAAATAATGCATTACTGTAGTATAATTTAATTGTAACAATGAGAACACCTGGCAGTATTCTAAGCACATTGACCCTTTACTCAGAAAATTAGAAAGTGACTTCTGTTAAGAATCATACAACTGTGAGAAGATGGATGAGAAGGCAAATACAGCCAACTACAAAGAGCAGGATTTTTAATGTGGAAATTGGTTTCTCCTAAAAAGACTTATAGCTTTCTATAAGTAAGTACATGTTCAGTTTATTTGAAGAGGAATCTAAGGAGTATTAAAGGTTCATGAAGTTGAGTGTGCCCATTCCCTACTACAAAATTTCATCTGATGTAGCTAAATAAAAACATTTTGTTAGTTAGTTGAGTCATCAAAGTAAGGAGAGTGCATCATAGTCACACAGGAGTGGCCCAACTGTAAAAATAACCTAAGTATATGTCTTTAGGTTATGGTATTTTATTTTAATTCTTCATACATAAAGACAAAAGTTTTTATTATAACATAATTTTTGACCAAAAGTTTATACAGAATAATACATAAAATAAAGTTTAATATGTGGAGGGGCATAATAAGAGGAAGCAATACTAAAATTACAGGGAAATACCATTTCTCATATAATAGATTGGCAAAAGTGTGAAAGTTTGACCATTCTGTTACACTGCTGGTAGAAATGTAAAATGGTACACCTCCTAAGAAAGGCATACGGCAACAAGTGCCAAAATTACAGATGCATCTGTCCTTTGACTCAACGATCTGACTTGTGGGAATCTATCATACAGATACACTTGCATACATACAAAATGACAAATGTACAGGTTACTCATTTAAATAGCAAATGATTGGAAACAACCAAAGTGTCCATCACTGGGTACTGGTACAGCCATATAGAACTATGCAGTCTAAAAAGAGGATGAGATCACTATGTATGGATATAGAAAGAAAGTCAAGATAGAGTTAAAATTTTAACAGTAAGGTGCAGAATAGTGTGTATAGAGAGCATTGTATAAAAAATGTGGGAGTTGAAAAATCTGAAAACCAAGTGCCTATTTAGAGATGTCAATGATAAAGAAACTAGTTTGTACATCAGAACCCCAGCAAGTTTCGGGATCTGGAGACACAAGTTTGGGGATGTGGAAACACACTAACAATGAGGGAGGAGACATGGAACTTAAAATAGCGTAACTTATTTCAGGTTTGGGAAATGAGCATTTAGATCCCCACAGCAGGTCGGCACCCTCTCTTCAGTTCCGGGATGCCCCAGAATGAAGGCTGAGTTGCTGCCTGCATGAGCAGCTGCTCCACCTTGAAAACAAGGCTTCAGGAGGGATTTCTCTAGGGAAAAACAAATGGGCCTGATGACTTTGGAACAGAGTATTTAGGAGATGGTTTACAAATGTATTGGATACTGGAGACAAATTTGTGATGGGACCACAGAGCTAAGCACATAAAAAACAAGATAGTAAACAACTTCAGGTCAAAGTAAAAAGTTGTACCAGCAAGGAAACATTCATTTTATCCTACTGGGCTTGGCAGTGAATAACACTTACACAGTAACAAAAAAGGTAAACATTAAATCTTTTTTTACTGTATTTTTTCATTACCATTTAGTCCCCTTATACCCCCCTTCTCCCCCAGCTCCACAAACACCACATGTTGTCCGTGTCCATGAGTCCTTTTTCCTTTTTTCTTCAATCCCTCCACCCCCTGCTCCCGCCTTAGCTGCCATCCTGCTCTCTATGTATGAGTCTGTCTCTTAAATCTTCTTTTAAAGAAAAGTGTGCTGGGATTACATTGAGGTGATGCAGAGAGGAACAACGGAGGTGCTGGTTTAGTGAAGGGGTGCTAAACCCCCATCTTCTGAAACAGGAAGTCAATAGAAAACAGCTAATATCAGCACAGCAAGCAAAAATGGCATAAACATTACCCTGGTTCTCAAAGTGTAGTTCATGTTCTGTGAAGGCAAAACTATTTTCATACAATACTAAGACATTTGTCTTTTCACATGTTGACATTTACACTAATGGTGCGAAAGTCACAGTGGGTAAAATTGCTGGTGCTTTAGCAGCACAGATTAAGGTACTATCTAAATTGACTAGTGGTCATTGTGTTCTTCACTACCACACTCAGTTTTTTTTTTTTTAAATCCAGTTTTACTTAAACATATCCTTGATGAAGCAGAAAAATCATTACCTAAAAAAATCTCAACCTTGAGTGCACGTCTTTCTAACATTCTGGGTGGTGAAATGGGAAGTAGCACAAGTCATTTCTACTGGATATGAAAACGGATGGTGTGATTTTTTTTTTTAGTCGAACTAGGCGCTGATGAGCAACTGATGGATTATGGTTATTCTGACTTGGCTATTCGATAGTCATTTCCTCAAAAAGAAGAAAGTGTGCCTGTCATTTCAAGTAAAAATAACTGATAACATTTGTTGTCATTGAAAATATTCGAGCTTTCAGGGAAAAATAAGAGTTTTGGAAAACCTGGATCCCCCACAGTAAGTGTAGGGCTTCCTAATGCTTAAAGACTTTTAGTGAAATCAATGATGAATCAATGAAAGTAACAAAAGTGATTTTAAAAAATGTCATGTAATAAAATATGTCAACATTTGGAAGATCTGCATTACTCATTTTCCAAATGACCACAATAGATGATGTTACCCAAAGTTAAAGGGTTTTACTATAGCAGAGTATAAAATTCATTGGTATAGTTTCAGATTTCACATTGCTGCTAACCTTAAAGAAACTGGAGCTAGTTGAATTTGAAAGTAGTATCAAACAACAATAGCAGCATTATCTGAAAATGTTATTAAAATAGTCTTCTTTTTCTCAAATACATATCTATATAAGGCTGGATTTTAAAAATTTAGTTCAACCCACACAGCATATTATAACAAACTGAATGCAGAAGCAAATAGGATAATCCAGCTGTCTTCAGTGAAGACAGACATTAAAGAGATTTGCAAAAAATGTAAAACAATGGCACTCTTCTCACGAAATTTTTGAAAATAGTTTTTTAAATAAAATGATTTGTTAGCATGTTTACTATTATTTAAATATGGATAAGTAAATAAGTAAAACATTTCTTAGTTTTAATTTCTAATGTGAAAATTACCATATAGATATAACCCCCATAAGTAAAACCTCTCTTTTGAGTCTCAATGACTTTTAAGACTGCAAAGGGATCTTGAGAAGAAAAGTTTGAGAACCACTGGCATATTATTTACAAATCAAGAGGTAAATAAATAGAACACTGCAGAAAGAGTTGAAATTGGTCTGTTCTTTATTATTTGACCTTCTGTGCAATGTACCTGTATTAATTTGATACAGCAAATATAAATATTTCAAAACAAATAAATACCTTCCCTTACATAAATATTATAAGATTATCTCATTTCTTTAGATAATGTTTCTCTTCCTTACCAAAATGAGAATGGAAATATCTATGAGCAACTGGACAGCCAGAAGGCAATAAGTGGAATAATTCAAATGCCCAAACTCTCTGTAAGAAGCTTTTTTGTCCTTACTCCGATGGCCAGGATGGCTTCAGCCAACTCCAAAGGACAATCAGTAGCCATCACTCTGACTTTAATACCATGACCCACTCAGAAATAATGTAGCAAGCAAGCTGCCTTCTGAAAAGGTATTCAAATTTACCCAGCAACCCTGAAGACTTTTGAGGGTAAGGAGGAAAACTACTCTCTTCAAATGTCTATCCATGTTAGGGAATGCTTTCATAGAAATGCCCTGGCCCAGCTGCATGTTTTAGAATGCCAAATTCTCAGGACGGTTATAGAAGAAGAGTGATTCATGGCCGAGCAGAAATGAGTCAGTGATCTGGGGAAATGGGGCAAGTCCGGATAATAAAGTATGACCCACCTTGAATGCACTGAGGAGAGATCACCAGATCTGCTAACTTGGCTAGCCACAAGCCTGAGAATGAAGACACGGAAGAGACACCATTTTCATTTTTAACTGGACTTTTGGGTCCTATATCATCATTCTGCTGTTAGGTGACTCTTTTATCTAAAATATGGCTTATATAAATATTATGACTCATTGCTTTAGCACATTAACAACTTCTAAATGTAATTTGAACGTGTTATTCTGACTCACCAGTAATAATGCTCATTAAAAGAAGGATTACTCAGAGCCTTTCTTTAGCTCTGTTCCAGCCCTTCCAGTACTCTGTCCTACCTCTTATTGTTCCCTCTCCTAATACCATGTTCATTTCCATCACAGCACCTATATATCACTTATATAATTATATTTATATTTATTTTTATATTTATATATTTATTTTATATACATATATATTATATATTTATTTTATATACATATCCCTCTCCTTTACTGGATGATACAGACTACAGGGCAGAGATTACCATATTTTACTGTGGATAATGCCTACGTTTTGCCCAATTTTTTGAGGGTAAAAACAAGAGTGTGTATTATAATACACATTGGTATAATGATTACATACCATGAGTATAATAATGGGTATAATAATCCTGTGTATATTGCACACAAAACATGGGTGTGCATTACACATGGAAAAATACAGTATCACATTTGTTTTGCTTACCACTTGTTTATCTGTCTCTTAGCCAGGTAGGGCATCCTAGCTGCTTTAAAAAATGTTTGTTGTATACATGTCACACCCATGTATACAACATGGGTGTTGTATACACCCTTTTAAATCCTAATGAATTTAAATTAGGATTATTATAGCCTAAAGTCTGTTTTGTTTTCATTTTTCAAAAAGGCTTGAGGTCTAGAAAAGCTCTTTCTTTGATTGTCTATAGCCATCTTTGTCTAACAAGCCTTATCTTAAATGAAGAGTGTAAAGCCAGAAAGAGCTAAAAGGTAGTATATTTACTTATTGACGTCTTCAGCTGTCTCTTTGACCAAACTGACTCTTCGAATACTGAGTCAACTGGAATATATTGGACAAAATGATAATATTAAATGTTTTCTAACAGGACTCAAAGTTATATTGGATTTCATAACACAACTCAGTGTTTTGTATGTCCTTTTTGACTGTTACTGAGTTAACAAACATTTTTATATCTAATGCCTATATTCCACTGAAAGGAATATAGGGGTACAATGGGGAGGATTTGTCTATGCTTTAACTGTTATTAAATTTGAGTTCTTCCAGGGTAACTTCTTGGTAACTTAAGAAAAGCATAAATACATAGTTGGATAATATAAAATCATTAAGATTACCCCTTAACACATAGTCTATTTTAGACAGCAAATTGGAGGATGTGAAGATGAGAATAATTCCTAAAATAATTTTTAAAGGACTAATTACTTTGAGCAAGGATGACTAGAAATTTTTACTTTCTCCTTGTATAGTTCTTACCTTTTTTCTCTCATAGTACTTATTATTAAATTACTATGTAATTTACTCCTTTATCAAATTTATTATCTATTGTCCTTCACCTCATCTAGAATAAAATTTGTCAGGAAATTTTGTTCTATTTACTGACAAATCCCAAGTCTTGGAATAGTTCCTGATGCATAGTGAGTACTGAATAAATAATTATTGAATAAATGAGTAAACAAGTGAATGTATTAAATTTTCTAGTTTTGTTATTAATGCAGTGTACTTGGTTCCTTCCAATGACATATTTAAAGTACATTTCTTCCTTTCTTCATTTTGCTGTTAAACTTTCAGAATAAATTCTTCTATTTGTTCAATCTGGAGTCTCTTTCATTATGTTGCATTTGTTTGTCTCAAGAATTCAAGTTTTGTTTAACATTATAAAATCAATGTTCTTTACCATACAACAAAATTAAGGGGGGAAATTAATAAAATAATCTCAAGAAAAATTCAACATCCATTAATTTGTAGAAAATCTTAATATTCCTAAACAAAAGGAAATTATAACAAAATGCTACATAATGGTAAAAAATGGAAGTAATTACTTTAATATCATGAACAAGACTGTAGTACCTAGTATCACCACTTCTATTCAACATTGTCCTAGAAGGCTTAGCCAGCTTAACAAGGAAAATGACATATAAGGCACAGGATTAGAAAGGAAGAAGACATCCCCCCCAAAAAAATTTATAGGCAAATTCTCATTGTAGCAAGGTGGTTGGTTAGAAAGCAAATATACAAAGGAAAATTGTATTGCATACATAACAAATATAGAATGTGATTTTTTAAAGGTATTTATAATAGCATAAAATGAGAAACCTATGAATAAATCTAACTAAGGATTTATAAGACTCAAAGTAAAAATTACAAATCTTAATAGAAAGACTTAAACAATACCTAAACAGGTGGAGAAATATGCCAAGATTTTGAATATAAGGACTCAATATTTAATTTTATCAGTTTATTTAAAATATTTATTTATTGATTTTTGAGAGAGAGAGAAACATTGATTTGTTGTTCCACTTATTTATGCATTCATTGGTTGCTTCTTGTGTGTGCCCTGACCAGGGATCAAACTCACAACTTCAGTGCGTTGGGACAACACTTGAACCAACTGAGCTACCTGGCCAGGGATAAGCCTCAATATTTTAAAGATGTCAAATTCTCTGTAAATCAACCTACCATTTCTGTGCAGTTTTGAAAAATCTTAACAGATTTTTAAAAAATTTTGTGGAATTTGACAAGATGATTCTAAAATTTATATCGCAGAGGAAAAAGACAAGCAGAACAAAAAGAAAAAAAAAACCAAAGGAATTTTTTATTTAAAAATAATCAAACCCGAAAAACTGCTTTTATATCCTAAATTATGTTAAGCATATTTCTGAAGCTCTCTGGTAGATTCAATACATTAAAAATTAAATTGCAAAAAAAAGTAAAAACAAAAATGACAGAGATCTTTACTTTAAAATTTTAAAATATAATTAAAATATAATTTAAATTTTGAAATTAAATTTACAATAAAAAAGCCAAGAAGAGCCCCAAATCCTTAAAAGGAAAAGAGTAGAAATAAAAAACTATAAAAAATCTATTGTAATGAGGTCAATGAGCCAAGGAAAAGAATAAAGAGCCCAGAACTAGACCTACACATTTACAGTTTTGAATTATGATAAAGCTGGCATTACAGATCACTGGGGAAATTATGTACTTTCCAGTGAACTAGAACAGTTAGTTATCCAGTCTAAAAAAAATTGAAATGGGTTCCCTGCTTCACACCTTACACAAAAATCAATTTTAAATAAAGTAAAACTTTAGTCTGTTTATACTCCCCTCCCAGAAAATGGTAAGGGAAAAAAATACAATAAAAAAAGTGGTTAAATTTTTTTTTAAAAGCTTAAATGTGAAAGGCAAAACTATAAAACTTTTAGAAGACAATATACAAGAATATCTTTATTACTTTGATGGTAGAAAAATATTCCCTAAGACACAAACTATAAAAATCAAAACCATGAAAAATTAATTAATTTGACACTAAAGTTAAGAAAAGCCAACTATCAAAAGATATCATAGAAACTATAAAAAGACAAATCAAAGAGGGAGAGGATATTTTCACAACACATATGTCATATGATTGGAATCCTAATCATATTTTTAGAAGTCTTACAAATAAATAAGAAAAAAAAGAAACAAACTGACAGAAAAGTGAGTAAAAAATATAAACAGACTCTTCATAGAAAAATGAACCCTGAATAGCCAATAAATGTATTTTTAAAAACTCTCAACTTGTTAGTAACTACAGAAATGAAAATTAAAATCATAACAAGATAACACTTTATACCCATCAGATAAACAAACATTTTTAAGTCTTACAATGTCTGTACTGGCAACAATATAGAACTGTTGGGAACTGCCCTTCTTGGTTTCAGAAGCTGTAATCCCCATGGCTAAGGCTGAGTGAGAGACCTTGGGACCATAAGCCACTAAGGAGACAAAGCTTATCTTCCTGGCAGGGGCGCTGTGTCTGCCCCCTTTACTTCACCCTGCCTGGCCCTGGGCGGATGACCAGTTAGCCAATGACCGGTAAGATTCCTCAAGTGAGGGATGACCTAAGACAGGTATGGTCATGAAGGGGCTCCCAGGGAAGAACTTGGGGGGCTATAGAAAAAGGGGGTGATGGACCCTCCCCCCTCAGCTTTGACATAGTCTGAATCCTCATTCTGTCTGCAAGAAGTCTCCTAATCTCTTGGCTGCCTTACTTCCCCTGCCTGGTTTAAGCCTAAAACAATGACGGAGGGCAGTGCAATCCTGGGTAGGAACAGGCAGTTCCCTGGGGAGACCAGGCCTAAGAAAGAATGCATACAATCCTGTGAAACCTGCCTTGCTAGAATGTCCTCAGTTTTCTGATAAGGGTCCAAGCATAAAATGAGTTTGTTCCCTAAAGTTTTATAGCCCTTCAGCTAACTGACCTTGACTCAGAATAAACCCTCATAGTTCTTCGTATGTTATCTATTGTTTGATCCTTACTGCCTGACAGTGATTGATGAGCTTTACCTGTATTCCTGTGCAAACTGAACCTAATAAAAGCCCATTGAGGAAAAGACTCCTGGCCCTTTTCCTTTGAGAGTTTGGCCACCTTTCCTCCCCAGGCATGTCTTGGTAGGCTTATTCTCATCCACAGTGGATGGGGGGGCTCTGTGGGCAAAGCTCCCCCACATAGAACAACCAGAACTCATATACAATGTTGGTGGGAATGTTAACTGAAACAACTCTTTTGAAAAATATGCTCACATTACTATAATGTTGAAATTGTACATGCTCTGCCTATAATTTCATGCCTAGACACACATGTTCATGCAACAGGAAAATGTAGAATGTTTTTAAATAATATTGTTCATATTAGAAAAAAACTGGAAGCAACACAAATGCACATCAATATTTTCTGGCCTTGCAGTTAAATACTATATGGTAATGAAAATGGGTGAATTAGAGTTATATGCGAAACATGGATATATATTTTAGGGGAAAAATTCAAGTAGTAGAAGAATAT